TTTTCGCCTACCAATCTAAGCAACACACTATTTTGCCACGTCGAAAACATTTGCAGTGACATGAGGTCAGGAGCAGAGACTTTTGGCTTTCGCAGAACCATCACTCAATCAGTATACGACTGGCTCCAACAAATAGTTTCGTACGTAGTATATATATAACACTCAGGACTCGGGAGCCAAAGCGCTCCTTCTAGAACACTTCCGGACAGAGAATTTTCTCGAGCAACCGGGAACCGACTAGGCATTTAATGAATCTTAGGACATGTGCCGAGACAAACGTACGTACGTTCCAGCGAATCTAAACTGGAACAAACATGGACGAACGAACTAGAGGTCAAGCAATGAGGCGTTCTCAAAAGTGTTTGCTAACACATCTCATTGGCGGGTCATTACGGCAAATATAATAAAACTAACAATTTAAAGTAAAATTTAAGATCTCGGATCATCGTCGCCGGTTTTTTTCTAACGCTCCGACCGTGCCTGCCAGTGAGCACCCACGTCCAATCTCAGGCCCGTGGGTCCCACCCCTGTCCGACGGCCGGTTCGCTATGTCAGGGAGGCTTTAAAGACTTGTTTACCGACCCTACAAATCACCATATGATCTTTTCCCGTGGTTTGTCCTCACTCACACGGTTCCGACAATCACTTCCCGGAAGGTCACCCATCCTGAAACTACTCCAGCACAAACACGCTTAACTGTGGAGTTCTCTCAGAACAGTTGACTGAAAAGATAAGTGCACTTTAGTGACATAGGTGGCCAAATCAATTCTTTTAAACCTCTCCGCATGCACCACCATATTTCCTTAATTCGGGGTGTTACATTTTTCTTCCTTTTTTAACTGTGTTTGTCTCTGCTGTAACTATGTATTATGCCTATCTTGGGTTGAATATTATTATTAATGTATTAACTTTTTTTTAAAAAAAATGTAAGATTGTAACTCATTTAATTTAGGAGTTAATTTCAAAATAGGCATTTGTTTCGCATATTTATTTTATTTTAGGCACATCTGATATGTCTTTACGAAAAGAGGTACTTGTACAACGTAAAAAGTCTTTTCTACCCTTTATTTGATGACGTCGTGTTCATTTGTTTGGATAATTCCAGTCTCGACATTGCAATGAAAAAATCCAGAGTAACCGAGGAACGAAAGGAAGAGAACACAATCCTCTAACCGAGCGTCTCTAAATCTGTCTTTCTCTACCATCCGATAGAAAGTTCCGATGGCCCTCCGATGGTGAAGACGCGGAGTATCAGATGTCGAAGCTCTAAGGATTTCCGGTGATATCGCAGAGAAGCTTCTCAGAAATCTCGTAATTAGGATTCCACCACGCTCCCAGAGACTTGCATGTTTCAATTTTCCCTACATTGGTCATGGATCTAATCCTTTCAATTACGCCCAACTATCAAGGTTCCTATTTTTCTTTGATTAATTTTTCTATGTACATCGTTGCGGATCGATCCATGGCGGGCCGGGTCTCCGACATCTCAAAGGAATCTGCCGCATTCGTCATGCTTCTTACAATTTTTCTTTTCCTGCAATTTCGAGATTGATATCAGAAACAGAGAAAAAGCAAGCTTTGATATCTTTATCCGATAAGAGGGACTTGGCTTCTCTTGGCAACAATATGCAAGATTTGGGGTATGTGTTCTTTACAACTCTCTTACTTAGAAGTTAGAACTATACAGATTTGAGTTCTGTTTCTATCTTTAAATGTTTATGGATTTGCATCTGATATTTGCCTAGAGGAATTGCCTCGACTTTGGAGAATGCTGGAATCTATGTGACCAAAGAGGAGAAGCTTACTTAATCTTTGGAAATGGCAAGTTTTATTCTCTTAAGCTCCCTGCTCTTGCTTAAATTTTGGTCTTGTATTCTCGTTGATATTTATTCTTTAGAGATCTTTAATCAAACATAAGGCTAATGTCAAATTTAGTTGTGATTTTTTCAATGATTATACCATTGTGTCGTTGAGTTTAGTATATTAAACTTAGCTCTCCTTCTGTGTTTTCTTCTCATTAAGCTTGATGGCCGTGTGAAAACTTTGCACCCAAACATACACGGTGGTATCCTCACTAGAAGTCGAAGAGATGTCATATGGTGATTGTTGTTAACATTATATATTTTGCTTAAAAATATATGATATTATAACTTTTGGATCTAGATTTCAATCCAGAAACGAGTAACTTGTATTGGTAAGTTTGACGTTTTGGATGTTTTGATAACATTATATATTTTCCTTAAGAAATGTTGTGATCTTATAGTGAATGATATGTTAATGTAGCCTTATTAGCTAATTCTCTTTGTAAAATATTCATGGTGAATCGATAGCCAAAAATTATCAACAAATATCCATGATTATATGGTTATGGATGAGAAACTGTGCATCGGTCTATTTGGGTTAACCACTTCTTGACTAGGGTTTAGTGTTATCTCGTAAACTAGTTTAGACTTTGTGTTTGGGTTCCTTATTTACAATTTAGGGTTTAGTTTTTCCTCTTAGATATCTTTTATAGATTGTCTATTGTAGGTTAATCGGTTTGGGTTCACCCATCCTTAACTAGGGTTTAGTGTTCTCTCGTTTAGATTTTTATCTCGTAAGGTAGTTAAAATATTGTGTTTGGGTTCTCCATTTACATACTAGGATTTAGTTTTTTTCTCTTTTAGATATCTTTTATAAATGGTCCATTGTATATTTTAATCGGTTTAGTTTCACCCCCGTCCTTGACTAGGGTTTATCGTTTTTTTCATTTAGATTATTAGCATCATATAGGATATTGAAGGAATTGTGTTTAGGTTCCTTACATAGATTAAATTTTAAATTACTTATATCAGCAGACATCATCAACCCACATAATCGCCCAGCCATCACCTTCCCGCTCATTCAAAAGGGTAAAAGTGTCCAAAATTGGTTTGTTATCTCCCACTGTTCAGTTCTACTGTGCAAAGTGCCTGTTTTGAAAGAATTTTATTCAAAATGCCTATTTTGACAAGAAGCTCTTAATTTAGATTTAGGTGGTTAGTTATGTTTAGAATTTAAATCATATAGATGATGTAATTAGGTATTGTATTGTTTAATTGTATAAAGATGTTAATAAGAATACAGAATATACTCACACGAGTATTTTATATTGACACTAAAGGACAAAATGAAGCAAGAACCTAATGCTAATATCTACAACCCTCAATATGGACTCGATCTAAAAAAGCTTCATCATTAATGATGTAAAGCTTCACATCAACAAAGAAGTTCAACAGTTCATCTTAGCAATGCTAAAGATTATGTTGCCAAATGATTTTTAATCTAAATTAATATAGGTCTATGACTTTTCTGTTTCTTAAAACTTCTAGATAAATTTTTATTTTTAGTTTTGGTATATTTTACTACTTTTATTTGATATTTTTAATTTAAACTATTGTTAATCCATCAAATATATTTTAACTTTTCATTAAACTATTGTTAATCCATCAAATATATCAAACCAATTCCGTCAAAAAAATTTCGACGATATTATTCATCAAACTTCTCTAATGGAATTCTGAAGGATTGACATATTTTTAATCAATGGTTATAATGAATTTAATTTTTAAATAAATGTCATTTCGATGGATATTAAAACGCTTCTTCTTATAACTTCACACTTCAAGAAAGATAGATGAAAAGGGGAAGACGAGTCTTTGATATTTTAATTAGTATATTTTTTTCCTCTGGAACAACGGTTTATGACGTGGTATCAATAATTAACTACTTCAATGGCTTTAAAGATGCATCCGAAAGAAGTCTTATGTGTGCAGCCTGTGTACAGATTGAAAATGCAGAACATTAAGGTTGTCATACCTAGTTTGGAGAGCCAAAACATCTTCAAGATTTACTCTTTGCTCAGTCCCACATTTTCACAATACCACATCTGCGATCAGACTATTACGAGTAGCTGTTTTTTCAGAAACTTCTTCAAACTACCTACCAACTGGATAAACAAATATTTAAAGATATATTGGAAGGAAAACACTCAACAAATGTTCACAGCAGAATATGGACAAGAGATAGTCACACAAATAATAATCATGTGCTTCAACAATCTCGATCCAAAGAGCCTAGAGATTAAATACGGACATCGAGGAACATGTACTTTTCATCTGTACGAGTATCAATGTGTCTTTTTATATTGCCTAACATATGAAACGGGCGACATCATTTTGGTTATCAAAACTTTAGTCTTAAAATGTTTTTAGATCTTCACAAATGTTTCATTCCATATATAATAAGTATATATCAAACAATTAGTACATAATCTACATTTTTTTTATCAATTGAGTTGCCCTTTTATTTTCTTTTGCATTATAAATACAATAGACTGAAAATAAGTAAAAAAAAGTTGTATGATATCAAAAGTTAACTACTAGCTATAATTCGTGTGTATCTTTTATAGTTTTATGTGATTAAGATTTTGTATTTAAACCTTCAATTTGCACATGTTTCATTCCATGTGTAATAATAATGTATAGGGCAAACTATTGATACATGATCTCCATTGTTTTATCAATTGAGTTTGCCCTTTAATTTCTTTTGCATTATAGAAAATCAAATCATTTATAGTAAACTACGTAAAGTGACATAGTTTGACATTACATAGTTTTATTTTCTTCTATTTTTTTGCATTATAACTAAGAGAACATTTAGACTGAGAAATTATTTCGGTTTGAAAAACTCAATTAAAAAATGAGGCAACACACGACAAACACAAGTTTGACCTAGCATCAGTCAATAAAGTGTGTGTACGAAATGAGGCAACACACTACAAACAAAAGTTTCCAAAATCCAAGTCTATGTCACTCACATGACCCTTTTCTCCTCTCATTATCTACAGCAAAATGGCCTCTACGGCTAAATAAACAAGGGTATTATTGTCATCTCCGAGCAGAGAGATTTTGTCAAATATTTTCTGTTGCGGATGCTCGTTCTACTCTATAAATAAACCCTAAAACCTCACAAACTTTTCATCAAATCCAAAAGAAAGAAAATGGCTTCTTCTCACCAACTTTACAAGTTTATCACCATTGCAATTCTCTTTCTCTCCTTCATATTAACTTCTCTCGCTGAAAACACCGAGCTCGCAAGCGATAATCAATGCAAATCGGAATCACGAGCATCGTTTTGCCACAACAACAAAGAATCAAAGAAACTCAAATTCATAGCTATTGCTTCGATCTTAGTGGCGAGTATAGTCGGTGTTTCTTTACCATTGTTAACCCGTGGGGTTCCGGCTTTAGGACCAGACCGAGATCTTTTTGTGGTCGTCAAGGCATTGGCCTCGGGAGTTATATTAGCGACGGGTTACATGCACGTGTTACCTGACTCTTTTTATGATCTCAATTCCCCTTGCTTGCCCAAAAATCCATGGAGGAAGTTTCCGTTCACGACGTTTATTGCTATGATCTCGGCTTTGATCACGTTGATGGTGGACTCTTATGCAATGAGTTGGCAGAAGAAGAGAATGTTGAAATCGCAAGCAAATGTTGTGGAAACCCTAGAGGATGGATCGAACGAAATGGAGAGAAATAATGAAACTAAAGTCGATGACGCAAAATCTCAACTTATTAGGCATCAAGTCATTGCTCAGGTCTACGATTTTCTTTTCCCCTTCATTAAAATTTTTACATTTCAATATTTTATGAGCCCTAAAGTTGTATCTAACTAAATGGTGCTAGGTATTGGAGCTCGGGATTGTAGTGCACTCGGTTGTAATCGGCCTTGCAATGGGGGCTTCGGATAACAAATGTACCATACGTTCTCTCATCGCTGCTCTTTGTTTCCATCAGCTATTCGAAGGCATGGGACTTGGTGGTTGCATTCTTCAGGTAGCTAAATTACTTATGTGATTGTTGTCTAGTTCTAATTGTACAAACGATATATAACATATTGTTTTTTTTTTCCTTTTCTTAGGCGCAATATGGAGCAAAAATAAGTGGGACAATGGTGTTTTTCTTCTCGGTCACGACACCATCTGGGATTGCTCTGGGAATGTTGTTGCAAACGGTGTACAGCCCATCGAGTCCGACGGCATTGATTGTGGTCGGGGTCTTAAACGCGTGTTCGGCCGGTTTATTGAACTACATGGCACTTGTTGATCTATTGGGTGCAGATTTTTTGGGACCAAGGTTGCAAGGGAACATGAAACTTCAGACATTGGCTTATGTTGGTGTTTTTCTAGGTGCTGGAGGAATGTCTTTAATGGCTAAATGGGCTTAGAAATTATTGAAAACTATGTAATAAGAAAAATTCTATCTAGGTTTCTTTATATAGCTAGTCTTCCCTTTGATGCATAATGGCGATGGACTGTCTCATCCTTTGTTTTGAAGCTCAACCTCTGTTTGAGTGATCCAATAAAATTCTGTTTTAACGTCATTATATATTAATTATACAATTTTTTTAAAACAAATTCAAATTACTAATATATCTTCAATTCAGGAAATAATCTAATAGCTAAAACTAATATTGCTGTTTTTCATATTGACAATCTTCGTAAGTTTTTGCTGTTTTAAAATTAAAAATCAAAATCCATGAATAAACAGAAATTTTTTGTTGTTTCATCTTATGATCATGCATAGACATAAATCGTCTAGTTTCTAACGAGGCATAAACCATAATCATGATTTGTTTTGTTGTATGAAATAAATTCATGATCTTAGACCTTTTTCCCGTTTGATTTACGAGTTCATAACTTCATATATATATAGCTAATTATAAATATCTTTCATTTTTATTTTACTAATTTCACGAGTATATTAAGAAGCATATTAGACATCATTGAGAAAATTAACAAGTGCATTTACATAATTCCAAAATTAGAAAATAGGTTTTGCATGTAAAAGGACAATCGAGTGGGCATGGCGGATCTTCTGGAGGCCTAACATCGAAAGTGGATTCTTCGTGGATCACTTGTGAGGTGAACTCTTTCTGCATCAAACTTCGACTTTAATTTCTGCCTTTCCAATACATGAAAATGTACTTTCTACAACGTTTAAGTTAAGCTAAGTTAATCATAAATTTGTATAGTAGATATAATATATAGAATTGCAAATATCATTACATTTACGCCGATCAATAAAAACGGAAAAATCTCATATCATGCAAAAAATATATAAAAATAAATATTTACCAGAAATAAGAGCCGAGAAGAAAAACAAAGTGAAGGTCTTCAAAATAATTTTCATAATTATGGGCAGAATTGTTACGATTCGAGAGGTCCAAAAAAAAAAAAAAATGTTGAGTTAATTTATCACATTATGTTTTAGTCTTATATATGTTGAAAAGTAATACTTTTAGGGTAAATTAGTCATTTTCATGTGGAGCTTTTTATATAGGAAAATCTTGAGCCATAAAAGTTAGATTTTATGAACACACACCACATATATGAAAGTTTAATTGATAAAAAGAAAAGTTACAAAAAAAAAAAACTTTAATGGTAAAGAGTCATCTCTATGAGAAAATATTTTTGAAGCTGGAAATCCAAAGTTGTGATTCATAGATTTATTGAAATTATTACGCATAAATTAGATTAAAACCAAAATAAAATACATGTGTCAAAGTAGGGTTGTTTGTTTAATTATATACTAGTATAAATTAATTAGATGTTTAATATGTGGTTACAGATTACTGAAAGTCGATTTAGCTTAAATGTTGACTTTTTAAAGATAAATTACTTAAAATTAAAGAAACTTTTGTGATAGGCATGTCCAAAGAAAAATCTACATGCACTACTATTTTTCAGAAACTTACAATGACTTTCATTCTGAATTTCACATAGCACAAAACAAACTAAACTCTGAAAGAAAAAAAAATCGTAATTTGTGTTTTATTTTATTCGTTTAGCTTTTTTTTCTATAATTTTTATCAAGTAGCAGGGTGGATCTATGTAGGATAACATAGGGGTAGCTGCCACCCCTAATATTTTGAAATCTACATATTAAGAATTTTAACCATAAAAAATCTCTCTTGCACCCCCTCCCCCCCCCCCCCCCCCCCCCAAATTTCTGTTTTCTAACTGACAAAATTCATGTCAACTAAAAATGCAAAATGAATATTATATATCTATTTTCACCTTTAATTTAGCTAAATTTGTACACATTTAAAACCAAATATAGATATCAACGTGATCTAAATGCATAGATTATAATATTTAGTTTCCTTTGTATCAACTCATAATGTTTAAAAAATTTGGTCTCTTCCCATAACTTTGGTGGTTCATAGTTATGGTAATTGATTTTTTTGTAATATTGTATGTGTTGTTTTCCAAATATTTGAGTTTTCTATAAAAATATAAAATAAAAACTTTAGTGCAAAATATCGTAAAAAGTTTAAATTTACGTATAGATTCGTTTGAATTTGTATGTTTTTGTAAATTTTAAATCAAACTAAGTGTGTAAATTTAAAATCTTTCACTTATAAATATTCCTCTCTGATTCTTTTAAATTTAAATGAATTTTAATAGAATATTGTATCCATGCTACATTCTACCTTTTTTTTTTCATCCGAAATTAATTAGAGCTCAAAAGAGCCATTCCTGGGAATGTTGTTTACATATGTGATATGAAGCGGTTCTGCACGAATTTTTCGTGCCAGATTATCCGCTTTTACATTAGCATTACGAGAAATTAAAGATAAAGAAAAGGATGAAAATTCTTCCTTGTCGCTCTGGAATTCCTCCAAGTACATTGAAAACGCCGGCCATTCGGTTGGAGAAGACACCATCTTCACTAGATCAGAACAGTCTGTAAGGAATGTTACCTCTTGATTATCTGCACCGATCATATACTTCATCGCCCAGAGAAGAGCCTCGAATTCTGTATGTAATGGAGATAAACTTCTGCGGAGGTTGGCAGCTCCCATGGTTGGCGGCTCTCCGTTTGATGATGTACAAAACCATCCTGTACCGGTAAACTTATCACTTTCTTTCCACGATCCATCCACAAAGCAACGACATCCAGAATAATTCGAATCAAGTGAAGCATCCCCCACTCGAGAACGAGTTACCAATTCCACAATACCATTAGTTTCATGATGAAGCTCGATTTGGGCTGACTGCCACAATTGTGCTTCTTTTTCCGCTAACCGTAATACCTCTAACGGATCTTTATCAATATTTTCAAAGAATTTTTCATTCTTTGCTTTCCAAATATACCAGATAATCCATGGGAATGCTGAAGAATCAAATTCCGAAGGTATTCTCCAAAATAAGTGGTCCATATTCGTAAAAATAGACTCCGTTGGAAAAATTTCCATTGCCGTAGGAATCTGGGAAATTGCCCAAACCTGTCGTGCCGGATGACATTGAAAGAGTGTATGATTGATTGTTTCCACTGGTTCACCACATCTGGCACAACCTGTGTCACAATCAATACCTCTTCTCCGCAAGTTTTCCATAACTGGTACACAACCCGTTAAGATTTGCCACAAGAAATGACGTATCTTAGGTGGACATTGCACTTGCCAAGAATGTGCTTTTAACGGTTTGATGTCTGGGCCAATCAAAGATAAATTGGTCTCCAAATTTTCTAACCTGGTGGTATGATATCCCGATTTGATTGTATATTTTCCAGATTTTGTAAAATGCCAACCCAGTGTATCTTCCTTAGTTGGCGTACCCACAGGTAGGGCACTTATTAGGGCGACATCTTCTGGATCAAATATCTCCTCTAAGAGACCAATAAACTAAATTACAGCGTTGAGATAATAATTCAATATTAAACTTGATAACAGTGAATAAGAATAATGGTACGATTTATGACAGCGTTTGTCTGTACTATATTAAACAATCTTATTGTTATTGCTTAACGCTATTAATAAAATACATATTATAGCTTTGCCTAATAACGCTATTGTATGGGGTGATCCTAAGATAGCTCCGGCAAATACGGCGTTTATAAAAACGCTATTAATTACTTATGAAATCGAAAATCGTGTGGTAACAATGTTGATATTTCTTGTATCTAGATATTGTTAATTTCGTTTTAAAGTTACATATTTATCATATTGTACCAATCATATCTGATAAAGTCTAGACTTTATCAATATTTCAATTAACCTTAAATGTACAAATTGAAACGAAGAAAAAATAATTGGATTTACAAAACTAATATGGATAATCTACACCTGAAAAAGTAGGTATATGTGCAAACTATGTACTATCAATGGATATCATATTTATACAATTAATCATGAAATGTAAGAAGGTAGGTTACAAACTCGTATATCAATTCTGATGGACAAACAACAACAAAATATACATATATAAAATCAACAGTAAATAAATAAATAAAGATAAACTTTATTCATTGATCGGCTCGGAAGCTGCTTTTATGTTGCTAGTCTTAGTTGCAACTTTAGGCTCCTGAGCTGCTTTTATATTGCCGTGGCGTCAAAGACAGTATAAAGAATGCCCACCGCACTAGAAAAGGTGTAGCTTCTATTGATCAACCAAATGTTGTTGTTGTTCACCATTGACAAGTCTTAGAGTAGTGTATACCATTGGTGGTGTTTTGAATAAGAGCCAATTACGTGCATCCTCGGGAAAAAGATGTTGAAGCTTCTTTGGAAGAGTTTTGAAACATTCACTTCTTCATTAAAGAAAAGGACACCAACATCTAGATTCTGGTGCCTATTGATCAAGGATATGGCACACACCGAGTCGCGTTACCTTCGCCGGATTCACGATCGGAGGAGGTTGAGGATTCATGGAGTCCGCTGAGTGAGAGAGAGAAAGCAAAACGTTTTATAACACAATTTTAAAAAAAGGACTTACGGGAAAAATATCCTATTTCTGTTTACAAATTTGATTTTCCCATAAAAAAAATGTTTACAAATTTAAAAATACCTTCTATTTTTTTTTGAAATTATCTTTAGATTTTTTTCCATTTCAGAACTACTCTTTTGTTTGATAAAAAAAAATGTATATATCAAAAAAAAATTATCTTTGCTTTATTAATATGGAAATTTCCATCTTTTTTTTTAATCAAACAAAAGAGGAGTTAGCAAGTGTAGTTTTTTTATAGGGAAATTGTTAAAAATGTCCCTTTTGGTGTGCCATTTTCAAAAATGTCCCTTTTAGATGTCCATTTTCAAAAATGCTCCTTTTTAAATCTGAAATTTTTATCAATTTTTATTAGGTTATGAGGTACTTATGGATGATAACTACTACTTGAAGACTCGATCTAAGTATTTATAAGGTTTTATAAGGTGTTTTAAAAGATTTTACAAGATATTTTAAAGGTGTATAAGGTTTTCAAAGGTTTTACAAGATATTTTAAAGGATTTTAAAGATATTTTAAATGTATTTACACAGTATTTATAAAGTAGTTATAAGATTTTAGATACATAGAAAAGTAGTTTGTGTATGTTTTAAT